TTTTTTTTTTTTTTTTTTTTTTTTGTATATATAAAGAAGTCTCTCACTTGGTTGTGACATTTGGAAACCAGTTCAAGACTGAAGATTCTGAGAAAATATGCAAATTAGCATTTTAGATCACACAAAATGAATGTTTTAGCAAATTACTGGCAAACTCTAGAACAACATTTGCCACAAGTTGCTTACTTGTCAAAAAAATGACAGCGCTAATACTCTGGAATTACAAAAAATTTGCACGAGCAACAACTCTGTGACTTTTATTAAAGCAAATATGTTATGTAAATTTTTGAACACTGTCAAATGTTCCTGTTAAACAAAGGTACGTTTCGGTAACTCACATGAGAAAGTTGTGAATCCCATGTGACATTTTGTAAATTTCCACATGAATGCGTACAATTTGTTGCCAACAGTTGCAGCCCAGCAAGATACCTGTAGTAAAAGGCCCCTTCAGCAACATCACCAACTTTGTTTTTCTGGAATTATGGATAGTAATGTTTTGTATAACTTCTTCCATTTTGCATAGCATACTAGTACTTTAAGCTGATCGTTTAAATACCATTCTTCAGCTGAGACTAGGACAAATCTACTGCACCACATTAGGGAGTGAGTTAAGAGGTTTGAATCTGTGAGTCATCAGGATGTTGTTCCTCACACCAAACTAAAGATAAGCTATAGACCTGAGAATGGACTCTGTACTAGATTAACGCATGTACTATCCTTGTTAAATTCTATTTTTGAGTTTACCTTTCTTAAACTGTTTTTTGCGACAATTGTAAGTCTAACATTTGAAAAAGTAACATTAAATGAACAAGAATCCATGAAATGCCATTCATTTATTTCAGAATTAGGAAGAGATGTTGATTTAAAGCAAGCTATAGGTGGGGTCTTTTAGGACTGAATACAATTCTTTAATATATTTAGTTCTGAACTGAACTGGGTTATCTGAAAAAAAATAACTGCTTGTTGAATGAGACAGCATTGCTTTGGTCAAACTTAATCAAGAATGTTTTCATTTACTCAACAAGACACTAGCAATACAAAGTATTTGTTCTTACAAAAATAATATTTTTTCTACTGAAATAAGGGAAATGGGCAGCTGTGGCTGAGTGGTTAGAGCAGTCGTCCGCCAATGCAAGAGTTTGGGTTGGATTCCATCAGCAGTCACATGCTGAAGTGTCCCTGGTCAAGACACTGAACCCCTCATTGCCTTCGATGTGTGTCCTATCGGTGTATGAATGTGATAAAGCTCTGATTATTCTTTGTATAGATCTAGTAGAGTGCTGTATGGATGGGTAAATGAGGGCACAGATTGTAGTGTAAAGTGCTTTGAGTATCTTGATAAGATAGAAAGGCGCTGTATAAGTAGTGTCCATTTATACAAGTATAGTCTAAATATGTACATTGAATTTATACATACTCATACGTAAAGATAGTTTGGAGGGTATAGAAACCTTATTGGGTTCTACAAGTTATACTTGATTATTTTTCTATTGGTAAGGAGGCTTATTGTCACAAGAGATGAATCCCCTATATTTTAAGTGGCAATGGCTTCTGGTACTCCCACCTTGGGTCATTTTGACTACAAATGGACAACTCTGATTGAGACCCTTCACACCTGGCAAGTAAATTTGCACCCCTAAATAAAATGGAAAAAATATATATATATCTTTAAAAATCTAATATGCATGCCATTTTTTGGAACATCTAAATCAAATATCTAAGGACATATTTATAAGTATACTTAATAGTTTATTCTGTTTTGCTCATTCTTCATGTTAAACACATAAAAGCTAGTTAAAGTCTAGTTACCTAAACCGGATGTTAAAAATATTAGCTTTTCTTGCTATATTTTAGTGTGTATGAGCATGGAAAATGCCTTATACATTGTATAAGGTGTGAATATGCTAGCACTTTAAAGTAAAACTTGAGTAAACTTAGGACAAGCATTTCATCATCAAGCTGAAGACAAGAGTCTACAAGCTTCACTTTTTATTGGCCTTTTACTGAGAGAAATGGGATCCACGGAGAAGCAGCACAGTTGCCATGTCTCATAAAAGGAGGATTAGTCACTTTGTTAGTGCACATCCACATTACCTAAACCATTTGTTCCTTGCATTTAATGTCACTGGGAGAGTTTCGTACTTATTTACCTGCCAACACAGGCATCACTTTGATCCATCTGCCTAAGCCTTGGCAGAACTTCTACTGCACAAAAACACATTTGTGTACTGTATACCTTTTCTCTCTGGTAACGTATTGCGATGCAAATGACAGTCACATCAACACCAATCTCTGTGCTAAAAGTTTCACCCACTCACTTCAACCTGGATGGAATAAAATGCAGAGCTCCTTCTTCTGTAGTCTGCAAGAAATCATTTCATTTGTTTTGCATGTTATATAGGACAGTGGGAATATGCACAAGTCTGTAAAACTCTGCTGTGTCCCAGTTTCTGTAGGTCGGTATGTTATCAGGTTATTGATATCTGTATTACCATACAGGTGCATGAAAATCTGCAGACAACTGGAATTATTTTTAACCAAAGTTCAGTTTCACAGTGTTCTTGTTTCTCACCACAACAGATTGTTAAAGGGGTCTAGCACAGGCTAACTAACAGCCACGGATCACTGACCTTGCCGACGTAGAGCGGTTCGTTTCCCGTGAACTCCTCCAATACGAAGAACTGGTTCCATACCCAGCTGCGTTTGTGCCTCTGCAGGACGTCCCAGGGGTTCGGATCAGAGTGCAGGGACTTCTCCAGATCCCCAGAGCTGCGCTTCAGCCCCCAGCAGCAGCAGCAGCTTCTCTCCCTCAAGACAAACAGGAGCACCAGAGGAGCCAGGGCTCGGCATATGCCTGAGCAGCACCAACCCATCGTTTGGGCTCCCCTCCAAAAAATGCACTGAAGCAAAAAGAGGAGCAAAATTCTAAGAAGAAAAAAAAAAACTGAAATGTCAAAACCCTTGGGGTTTTATCCACACAGTCCAAACTCTGTTTCACCAGAAAGCAACAACAGCCAGACTCAGAAAGGAGCACATGGACTGAAGATGAGTCAAGCTCTGCATTTTTCTGTGTTGCTCTTCCTTTCTTTTTAAACGGGGTAATTCCTGCCACTTTGGAGCCAGAGAGATGAGAATAAAGCTGGCCAAGAGGGTCATTGGCGACCAGGGAGGCTTCAGCACAGACTCTTTGTAATTGGCACCTATCAGAAGAAAAAAGGAGGGAGGAAAAACAGGAGAGACAAAGACGTAGAGGAGAGAAGAGAGAAAGGAGTGTCAGCAGAATTGCCTCTACGACCGCAGTCACTTTAGATAGCAAGTAATGTGCCTGCTGATGCAATGATAATGACTTTTTTTCCACAGATTCAAAGGAAAGTGGTGAAAAAATGAATACGATCAACACACTCACCTACATACAGACAAAGCAAAATTGGCTGAGGTCAGAATGTTAACAGGATAAGATGGAGGGAAAAATGACAAGGCTTCGTAAAGAACTCTCACACCGAGTAGAAACAATGGTGACGGTGTGGAATAACAATCAAACACCATTCATGTGGCTCACAATTATCTGGGCTTTACCTCACCAAGGTCGTTACTTTGTCACATTTCCCATCGTATGAGACGGCAGAGGAGCTCGACTCTTAACGAGCCACATGAGCTGTGAGGCGAGCTCTCACCGCCAGGATTAAAAATAAATCTGAGCTGTCAGCAGCACGCCGGCCTAGGTGCTCCTGACCTCTGCTCCGAGTTGTTGCCCGTCCGAGTCGTACGCACGCAAAGACGGGAGGCGCGGGGGATTTGTCTCCGTGCTGTGACAGATCCCCCAAGATGCAGGAACATGATGACCTGTCACAGCCTAGGAAGGGATCCTGACAGATAATGTTTGTGTCATATCCTGGAGGTCCTTTTACGTAAACCACACATTTACTGCTGCTATTATGCTCGATTTGAGGCGCAACAGTAACTCCAGACAAATCTCCCTTGATGTATATTCCAAAACAAGGCAAGAGAGAACAGGTTTCACCAGCAGACGTTCCAAGCATTTGACCACATGTGCATTTCAGTCCCTCTCTGACCTCTCTGTCTCTCCTCTATGCAGAGTACTGGCAGAGCCCTGGCTGAGAAAGGTAATTGCCTTGGCAGTGACCTCTTTCTTCCCACACAGATCCTCCACTTCTCGTTTTACTTCCTCTCCATTCCCTCTGGCAAAAGCAAAGCAGTGCACCACACACATCCTGTGGAAGTGATTTGTTGTAGTTCACCACAGGAGAGTCATTAGCCGAACGCTAATAATTAAAACAAGGAATAAATCACAGCTGCATGACTGTCACCTCTGCAGACACCTAGCGCGCAATCATGTGAGGATGTACCCTGCACCCTGGTTAGGATTTGTTTTTGTCCTGTTTTACATTTTTTTAGTCAAAGTGCAAAAAGTTTTTTTTTTTTTTTTTTCACCGACGTGCTCACGATAACACACAACTTCAACAATTTAACGGTGGAGGTGAAAAGTGGAGCAGATTTGGCTGCAGGGCTTGTGAAGGCACATTGCAGCTGTGGTATTTGTGCTATTGTGGAGATGGACGCAGCACGAGCCATTCACGCATGTCATGTTCCGAAAACATGAGGAGATGGAAAACATATTGAAGATATCAGTAATGTAGTTGTGGGTACAGGAGTGGACCCAGTAAAGCAGATATTGGCTTTTTATTTAATGAGTTTCTTCTGCCTTACCATCCAGTTGATTTTAATTTATTAGGCATGCCATGCACTGAAGAAATCAATGCATTTTTTTTTCCAGAGTAGTTGTTTGTCATTTGAAAAATTAAAAGAATCAGATCCAAATGAAATGTTTGACTGGCAACAACAACAACAACAAAAAAACCAGTTGTGGACGTGACGAGAGCATTTTATACAGGCTTTCCATGTCTTTTTTGCGTGTTGCGCTGGCAAAGAGAAAGTCAAAGTCTATAAAGTGACAAGAAAGCAGATCAAATTTTGATACCAGGCACAGAAAAGAGTCGTATCTGATGTGACTATCGCATGATGTGAGCGTCTTTCAGGTGTCTGCTTGGAAAACGTCTGAAACTGTCGAGTCTGCTGATTGACAGCGGAGGCGCCTAAAGCTGTGAAAACATTGGGAGATCCTCTAATTATAGTATATTAGGCATTTTACTTTAACAGTTACATGTAAAACTATTTAAAGCTTTAACGGCAGAGTCTAAACTACTTGGATAAAGAAACTTTGCAATGTTTTGTTGCTTTCAACATGAAAAAAGCACAAAACGTCTTCAAAACTCAGCATATTTAGCATTGACCATCAAATATCATCATTTTGTAGACTCAGACTTCCAGCCTTGTAAAACATCGAGTTGGACCGCCTGTGGAGGCTCATTGCAGGCCGGTGTCAAAGTGAGGCTGCTAAATTAAGTGAAAATGTGAGCTAAAGCTGTGAATGTAAAGCATCCCAGTCTTCCTCTGGCTCTGTTTCTCCTACACACACTCTCCTCTAATCCCATTTGCCAACCTCACAACAGGATTACCAACACCACAGCGCTCAGTTACCAAATCGTACGCTCTCTCCGATCCAAACGCTCATCCATCATTAAGAACGTGGACCACGAAAACTCCCCAGAAATGGACCCGATCTTAACTTGATCACGGTTTGGGACGGAATGCAGAACGTTTGATCAGATACTACTTAAGTAACCCTTGTTTTTTATTCAGAACCTTTTTATCGGCTCGAGCTGCACATGAGGAAACACACAATCAAAATAATATTGAATATCCCAATGGGATTTACAGTTGTGATAAAATCACATTTCTCTCACTTGCTTTTAACTTTCACAACAATTTCCATCGTGGCCACTGTGCTCTAAATCAGTTGTGGCCATTAAGGAGGGAGAAAGTCCTTCTGAGTGTGTCTGCTCTTTATTTCAGCCCAGTATGTTCAAACTATGCCAATATAATTTCAATTTATTGTGCTAAAGGTGTACTAGTGCATGTATTTGTAGCAAATTGTCACATTACCAATGTTTTTGTTTACTGCTAACTAAGGCAAAAAAAACGCATTTGTCATTGCTGTACTGTATTATTTGCTAATTTAGTCTTCTTTCCCACCTGCATGACATTTTTGAGAATTGGTTGTTTTAAAGGCCTGAAAATATATTAGAGGTAAGAATTTGGCTCATCTGGACAAGGCTTTTCTTTATACGTCATGCCATATGGCACCACTCATAAGGTCCTGATAGGACTATTTGACGGAACATCATTTCAAAATGACCAGACTATCCCTTTAAATCCTGCCTAGGTGTTTCAAATCAACGGAGTATAAAAACAAAAGCTCTGTGGTCCCACAGATCACACAAGGCTGCAGTGGAGGAAAAGGAGACATGCCACTTTGACAAGCAGATACCTCACATATTTTACATTTTGCCATAAATGGCAAGCCATGTATGTATTTATTCACTTTCCCTAATCTCAAGTCACTATAATAAACAGGTGATTTTCAGCTTTTTTGACTTTATATCAGTATACTGTTAAAATAATCAAAGCAAACAAACATTTTTGTTTGTTTTGTGCATTTTTTTTATTATTTTATTTGTTCTAACCCAAATCACAGGTACCTTTGGAAGTTTATCTTTCTTTTTTTTATTATTTGACACAAACTGTAAGGCACTGTTTACATTTTAGAATGGATGAGTATGACGGCACAATGTATAATTTCTTTTTAACAGTGAAGTTACCAGTTGCCAAATACGCTGAATTTACTGTCAAACATGGGGACTTCAGTGTTGTCCTTCAAAATGTTTACGACAAACACAGATCAGGCTCGTGGTGGAGCAGAAGTCTAATCTTGGGCTTGTTGGCTGAACGGCCCCCCTGCTCACTGATTCCAACTATCTCATGTTGAATTCATTTAAATTCACCATAGATCTGACTGAATCCAACTGTACTTCACAAACTGTGCAGATTTAGATGGATGTGATTCTAATCACACAAATACTTATTTTTCAAATAAATAAGGAAAATATACTTTTAATGATGGTTTGACTATGATGATGCTCTTTGTTCACCCAAATGATTTTAAAATAAATAAGAACCGTCAATCAACTAATGCAGCTATTTTTTTTCAAATAGTTGAATTTTTTTTATAAGTTTATCCGCAATCAGTTGTGCACATTTACACATGTTCTGCATAAAGGCATAAAAAAAATTTCATATTTCTCATAAAAGCAACACTGTTTTTTTTTTGTTTGCTTTACCAGCAAGAATTGGACCAAAATAGTCTAATTTTAAAAGTGTGTTGACTATTTTTGCCTAAAATTTAAGCTTTTCTTGCCAAAAACATATAATTTTAGGTCACTGGAGTCTGTTCACGTTTTGGTCTGAAACAAAAAGTCTGAGTCACGTTATGCTCTCTGCTCAAATATGAGCATCCGAGCTCCAAAATATAACTGTTATCCCTAAACTGATTGAGATGAATAAATGAATTTAGCCTCTTTGCATTGTAAACCAGCAGGTAGCTCTCCTCTCTGGGTGACCTGGATGCTTGGAGCATCCAGTTACGCATCAATCATTGCGCATTAGCTGTCAACAGCTGCACAACAGAGCAGCCAAAAAGTGCGCTCCTCTAACCCAATCGATGAGGAAAGGGTTTGTCTATACAGAAATTAAAAAAATAAGAAGAACACAAATAGCTCGAATCAGTATTTCCGATCGATTGCACGTCTTTTAAAACTTTCGGGGACTACAGAAGCAGACGGGGAGACAGGGAAGATGATGGGAGTGGAAACAGCTCTGACAGCCTCCGCTGCAGGAAAACTCATGTCCCTGGAATACTAATCACAGGATAAGGACACAATCAAACCCGACCAGAGCCCAAAT